GTGCCCCCTCCCCTCTCCTTCGACAGGTGCACGTTACACTCGGAAAAAGTGCACAATACGATGGTTTACATGCGTGAGCTATACTCACAAATAATACTAGCCCTTGAATTAAGTACAGTATTAACAATCAATGACGTTTCCTGACGACTTAGTTTCTCGAAATACAACACATTGACCATTATGTGACGCTATCTTCATCCTGGTCCTGGTACAAGAATTACGCCGTCCTACAGTAAAATTACAATGTTTAAAAGAAAAGAGAATGTCACGAATCATCAGGACGACAATTTTTAACAGTGCGGAACTTAGCGAGTTCTGCATAAAGCTGCAGGCGGCCAGAATTCACATTTCAACATCATCATGGGGCATATAAAGGCAGACGATGCGCAGACGAGGAGAGCGCCGAAGTGGGCGCCGCGGAGACAAAAGAGAGGACCTACCTACCTACCGCGGACGCGCCGCCCAGACTTTCGCTCTGCAGCCCATAGCCCCGCAGCCCGCGCAGCCCGAGCAGCACCGCCCCAAACCCCACAATCAGCCATTCACGGGGAAGGTTTCACTCTAACGCGGCGTGGCGGCCGCATGGGCGGCCCGGGAGGAAGTCCACAAAGGGACGCTGCTCGCCGGGAGAGGTCGCGGCGCTACATGCCCGCGCCATGCGCCAGCGCAGCTGCGGGGTCACCCCGAGCGGCTCGCAGCAGTGCACTCCAGTGACCTAGTCGCCAGCCACGCCACGCCCGGTCACAGAGGAAATATATACCACTTCCGCCGGCCTGAGCCAGTGAGGGAGAAACGTCGGTAATAAGTGTGAAAGGGACGCAGCGCAGTTAGCGTCGACAAGGCGTTGCTGTTGCTAGTCTAGCTAAGCTAGGCTCAAGTGATTCTCGACGAAAAGAAGATTCATTACGAAACAGGCATATTACGAAGAAAAATTCTGCTGCTCAGAAAGCTTAGCTGCCACCGCCATACAGAATCAGTCCAGACTATCACTGACCGCATACGTACTTCCTCAGGAAGCCATCTTGCCATACCTAACTTTTAACATCTTAGTATTGGAACGGACGTCTTTCCCGATCTTTCCTGTCTGTTTGATTGAAACGCATATTTTACAAAGGCGACGGTACACGCGCGCCGCTATACCTCACTCGCTCACACGTGCACGAGCGCACACGTGGTCGGGACAATGGGTGCAGCGTGTACGGCGTGGCGCCGCCGCTTTCGATGTGATCGACGAGTAACAAAGGAGCGCCGCAGAGGCGAGAGAAACAGAGCGCGCCTCGCGCCTCGTGCACGGCCAAATAAGCGACTGCGCGTCGAAATAACGAAAACTGCTCGGAAAACTTAGCCAATTCTATGCTTTGATTTTCAAATAAGTTTTCCCGTGCGGCGCGCCAACTTTATTCCTAACGGAAAGAAAACGGCAACACACCAATGTCAGATTAAAACACGCGCATTGGTACAAGCCAGGAAAAAAGCATGAACTAAATCACGAACGGTCTGGACCAAATGGCGCTCAACCACCGTGCCATGATGAGGGAGAAACTGCATGGTAAACACTAGATTTACGGAAAGGATACCCCTGCTGACATCTATGGAGTTCACTGAAAACCAAGTACTCAAGATTCTACCGAAAAAAAAAGTGTTAAGCAGGCGATATAGACAAATCGACCAAATTGAGCATATGAGTGATGCTATCTGGAACTGTACACCACTGTAGTAGAGCGCAATATGGAAATGTACTTCAATTTCAGCGAGAAACTTTGCTTCAAAATCGTTTGCAGTGTTACAACAGTGAACGGTCTCTATGCACAACACCTCCACAGATCGTCAGTCGACGGAGGCTTGCCTGAAGGGTCACACACCGTCCTCCTTTGACTGCCGCTGCCTCGGGCAGCTCCGTGCCTACATCGTAGCTGCGCCAGCTGCACTCTGGAGAGAGAGAGAAATCCTCGAGACTCTATCGCGTCTCTCTATACGCCTGCCTGACATGCCTTCCCATAGCCTGTGGGGTTTCTTCGCGACGCGATGATGGTGTCTCTCTTGCACGGCCGGCTGGTCACTCTGTTGAACCACCTGCCTCCCTGCCGGTATACGGTGTGGCGGGGCGGGCGGGGCGTAGCGGTACCAACACACACATGACCCCGCAGCGCCGCCACAGCCGACCTCGACATTGGATATTCACCCCGTGGGAGGCAGCGACCCGTTCTAGAAGGCTTGCCACGGGCGCGACAGCAATAAAGAGAGAAAGGAAAACAATACAGCCATTAAAAATTCTGTAGAATTTAGATCACGCTCCAAGTGTCATCTGTTCGCGTTTGAAGACGCAAATGAGATAAATTATCAACAAAAGCAGATCATTTACACCGGTAAAAGCAAGCAGCTATTCTAGATCACTTAAAATTCCAAGAAACCACAAGAGTTACTAAACTTCCTCAATTAATCGGCCCGGACCCATATTCACAATGAGGAACAATCCGCATTATATGAGCAGTTCTCAAAACACACGGAGAAAGTTCTTTAGAGTTTTCATCTTTTCCTCGCAGTAGCTTGCAAATAGCCTCAAAAAATCAGATTTTTTTCTTCACCGTTTAAGGAGCAATCGATCGATAGCCGAGTCAAGCCGATAACGAGATGTTACGAAAAGGGCTTCTTCTTTTGCGCATTTCTTGCCCCAGTCGGGTGTCGCGTTCGCGTCACGCGGCGCCGATCCGATACACTTTCGGTCCGCCCAGGCACGCGACAAACCGCACGACGTTTCACGCCTCACTAGTCGTGGCATCCGCGGCGCCGCATAATGCCGGTAGAAGGAGGAGGAGAGGGGGAGGAGGAGACTGGGTGTTGTGCGAGAGGTGGTCGAACCTTTCCCCAGCCGCCCATTCAAAAGCCGCGCTTCCCTCACCTGCCGCCCCTCTCTTGCTCTCTAGTCAAATTCAGAACAAAAACATCAATCATGCATTCAAATTTCACGATGTAAAAGCTAATAAGGGGAGAAAAAAAGCTTGTCAAATATCATAAGCTGAAGGTAAGAACAATTTGCTACCTATACTGAAGTATTTTTAGAGGAAGGTTATCATACATTTGCTCATACAGGTGTATTAAATAATTGCATTACGTAGTTTGCTCCTAAAGATAACATTTAGCTCAGGGAACAGTTTGAGATAGTAATTACAAGTTATGTTTACTGGTCTACTTCTACTTCGGCGGACCCTAACATGTCCAAAACTGTGCTTTTTTAGGGCCCTCACGCTGGAATCGGCCGGACTTGAGAAGTCGTGACTGCAGTTGCATAGAAACGTGCCGCGCCGCTGTCGAACCCCCGCATTGACCACTAATAATAAATGCTATACGACAGACTGTGAAAGCCACACCGCCCGCCACACACTGTGGTGTATGAGGGGCCACAGGGGTCCTTCCCCACACCGCTGCCACAGGCTCCTGGGCACAGGCCCCTGCGGTCTCGCGCTTGGTCTTCCCTCTGCCGGTCCCGAGGGAAAGTCCAGCGGCGGCAGCAGCAGCAGCAGCAGTGGCGGCTCGGCGGAGCGGACCTTAGAGAGGAATGTCACCGGCGCCGAGGACCACGCCCGCCCACTCCGATTCAAGCAACTAGCCACTCCAATCTGCAGAGGAGGTCCTTGCTTGTCACCTGCTCTATGAAGTCTCGCTTTATGGTTACAACCGCAACCAGCAGCATTTCGTTGTCACATTTTTCGTATGGACAACGCAGTCAAAAACGTACAGTCATGTTCCCTCATCAGTTTTTCGTAGCGAGTAGCGCCGTTCCCGACTCGTGGGCGGTGTGGCAGTGTGTGCACGCGCGATGCGCTCTCGCTGCAGGTGGGCCGGGCGCGCACCAAGTGCAGCACAAGTGCAACCCTAGCCGGCGGCGCCCCAGACGCCTCGCCACGCCAGCCACTTCCTCGGCGTAAAGAGAGCTGAACCGGCGAGGCGCTGCTGCTGCTGCTGCCAGCACCGGACGGGCTTGGTCAAGCGTGTGGTCCATTTCGTCCGTCCGTTCTGCCTGTCCGTCCGCCCGTCCGTCTGCACCACCATGTGCACCGACTGAAAGTCTCGTCAGAGCCGGACCGGCGAACGCGGGCATCGCAGCTCGCCGACCCCGGCAGGCAGAAGAATCACACCGGGTGACAGCTTAAAAATGACTTCCGCGTGGACAGCAAAGACAGCGCAGCGGCAGCGCTCGCCATTGTATGGCGCAGGTGGCACAGCGGGTGGTCCCACCTCATCCTCACCTCTCGAAATATTCGCACTCACGCGTACAGAGTTGCCTCCCCCCTCCTTTTCATATCCCTCCCCCCCCCCTTTCTCTCTCTCTCTCTCTCCCTGTCTGCAGGAGGAGACTTGAACGCTGGACCCTAAGATGCGCTCCAGAAGCAAAATCAACACGAGAGTGATGATGGTACCGCGCACATATAGCGAGTACAGACAATGTGATGAATGCAATGAGGAATATAATGATCATGATCGACACAAAAAGTGATTTATATTACATTATTGAGCCTGCATGATTTGACTTTTGAATGGCATCTTCTCTGCTAAGCATGAGGATTGGCGGTTAAAATTAAGTTTGATGATAAAATTAGGGAAATGATTAGCTGTGATAACCATGGTATGGATGGCTCAGGGGCTACCAAAAATGTGGTTGAGACAACAATCACCAAGTGGGCAAAGCCTCGGTCCTCCCATTCATGTGAATGCTGCATCAACCTATTTTTTTATAGTAGTTCCGATCCGGAGCTAACCAAACTATGGTCGCTACAGTTTTACATTTTTATCTGAGGTAAATTGGCACAATGAGGGATGAGAGTGCATGGTTAACCACGCGCTGTATATTCCACATGGTGCACGATGAGTCTTCCACACCGCTATACTCCGAGTCCTGATGGTCCAAGAGTAATCCACAACGCGACTCCACCAGGCCCGGGCCGGGCTACATCCAGGGGGATGATGATGATGATGACCACCGTGGGAATGACGGCACTTACCGGCGAGTATCACGCGTAAATGAAGGGTATTCCAAGGGGCCCAAAAGGGCGAAAAATCACACGCACACACGCACGCACCGCACTGAGTGTCACGCACGCACACACTCTCACACACAAGTCACTTCGCGCCGCTCCACACACTCGCACACCGCACGGCCTGCACTGGCCGATGTCCGACAGAACACTGAGTCTCCGCGGCGCACGCTGCCGCCGGCCGCCCGGCCGCTGCCCCCCCGCCCGGGCTGGGCCCGGCGCCCCCCCACCACGCGCCCGG